CGGTCAAACTGAAAATAAATAAATAAAGTGCAATAAAATATTTTTTTAAACAAAGGAATAACACAGGGATATTTCTGTATACACAGCAGACATAAAAAGGACAATCATACAATGCTACGTACAACTCTACACTTATCATTTGGCAACGTAGATAAAAAGGACCAATTCTAAAAAAAAAACCCTCACCCAACATTTGGATAGCCCTATAGTCCTGAGGAAAGTGAATTTATGAATTTAATATGTAGGCCCAGATGGTTTTACTAGAAAATTATACCAAATATTTCAAGATAAATTAGCAGGGCCAACAGGTGGCCAGTCTGAAAGGTTATATACTATAACATTCTTACATATTTCTCTTGAAATGACAAAAGTATAGATATGGACAACAGATTAGTAGTTCCCAGTGGCTAAAAAGGGGTTAATAGTAGGGCCAGCAGTAGTGTGGAGATTAAAACGCTGGATTCTCATGACTGGCCATGCAGTTCAAGTCCTGGACCCAGCAGCCTGAAAGTCACACCAGGCACGTTGTGTGTGCATGCTCAAAATCCCATTCACTGGCACCACAGCATTACCTGGAAGTCTGCCACACAGGAGTATTTACACCGTGGAAATGAGCAAACACTACAAATCAGGGCTCGATTTATTGTTTTGTTGATTGTCTAGATTTAATAAAATGATGGAGAAAATGTTAACAGTTCGGCTTGGCATCTTAAAACTCTCTCCGGGCATATTTGCATGCCCAAGATCCTGAAAGGAGAATGGAGAAGAGATTACAGTATGGCCATCCCTCCTGGGAGGTCATTTCTTGCTTTCTGTCTCTCCGGCGAGCATACACGCCCTATAGCAAAAAAAAAAAAAAAAAAAAAATCTCTCAAAAAAAAAATAATAGCTCTTGGAATTTTACAAAAGAATATATTAAATTGTGTGCTACATCCTTTATATCAGTAAACTTTATAACAAACTTATATATGCACATAGAGGCATACATCTTTGTTCAGAGAGCCAGTTGTGTAGCAGCACACCACTGCTTGGGAGGAAAGTCCAGTCAAAGTGTGTGTCCTCAGGGTGATGATTGAATGGGCTGCTTCTCCTTCTGCGTTCGTGGGGAGGTTGGAAGTGTGATAAAGTCTAGCTGAGACTTTCACACTCGACTGTTCAATACCCAGACACCATCACTGGGAGGTGGGGCGGAGTTGCTTGTTAGACCTGCAGAGTCCCAGGCTGTACCAGTGGGTACTGACATGAGGGTCTGGGTAGGGCCTGCCAGGCTCTGAGGAGGTGACAGGGTGTTAGGAGAAGAGTTGCTCTACAGAGGCTCTGTTTTGGTGTCCCTTTGGGGATTTCTGGGACAGGGACAGATCTGCTGGATGCCACCGCCTTTCTCTCTCTGCTCCCACTCAGGCCTCAGTGTACTGTGTGGCCGCCGTCCTGTGGACTGCAGCCAAGTTCAGCATCCCCCACGGCCACAAGCTGGCCCTGCCTCGCAGGCTCAAGACCCTCCTCCTGGACATGGCCAAGCGCAGTGCCCCAGAGCGGCCATCTGCAGCTGAGGCCATCAAGGTAACTGCACTGTGGTCACAGCCCCAACTCATAGGGGCCTCGGGCAGCAGCTGCTATCACTGAGCTCACTGAGCCGGACACAGATGGAGAGAACCAGCATACAGGTCCTGTTTCTAAGAAAAGTCAGCCTGACCATCGGGTACAGAAGGATGTGGTTTTCACTCAGTGGCTGTATCCATGTGGCACCCTGTTCTCTACAGAGTGTCCAGTGGGCCAGAGAGGGAGGTGTCCTGGGCCATGTGTTGACCCTCCTCAGCCCTGCCAGAGGTGAACAGAGAGAGTCCTCCACACTCTGAGGGCCCCACACCATGCACAGCCTTGGGCCAATTATAAAAAGAGCTGATGGTCCCACCAGCATCCCCTGCAGGGACTCAGACTGGGTTCTAACCATCCTCCCAAGAGTGACCTATGCCTGCACCCAGCAGGTAGAACAGGAGATGGAGCAGGGGCCCCTGCCGTTGTGCTCTGAGATCAAGAGGCCTCTAGACCTTCTGAAAGAAAAAACTACATGCAGACAGGGAGGAAATGGCTTTGGTCTTAGGGACCCTGGTTCAGTCCCTGTCTGCCCCTACTGGTCTGTGATCTTGGACAGGTTGCCTAACCTCTTTAGCCTCCTCTGCCAAGTGGCATGAGATCTTGTGTCAAAGATAAATGTAGCCAAGCATTCACTCAAGTGGTTAAAAACAGATTTTGTTCAGTTACTATTGTCAGTATTGAAAAGCTGAGCTCCGGGACCAGCAGTTAGCGTAATGGCTATGTCGCTGGACTCCCATGTAGTTGACCGCGGTTCGAGTCTTGGACCCGGTGGCTTAAACTCACGCTGGTCGCGTGTGCGTGCGTGCCCAGGATCCCAAGAGGAGAACAGAGAAGGGATTGCGGTGTGGCCATCCCCCCTGGGGGGTGATTTCTCACTTTCTGTCTCTCTGTCTCTGGCTGGCTGGCGAGCGCACGCGCCCTATAGCAAAAACCTCTCCCCCAAAAAAAGAAAAGCTGAGCTCCATCCCCATTTTGCAGAGGTGACCAGGAAGGGGAAGGGACAGAGGCTCAAGTGAAGAAGTAGTAGGAGCTAGTCACTGTTGATGTGACGAGGCAGCTGTGACTGCTGGCCAGCTTACGGAACTCGGGACCTTTGCCTCGTGTGGACAGCGGGAGGGAGAGGCCACCTGTAAACATTGCTTAGTAAACATGCTAAAAGAGGGTGGTCACACGTGTGGGCAGGAGCAGTCAGTTCTTGTGACAGCCCTGGGCTTTTTCAGACAGGATTTCAGAGGGGGCTTAGGCTGCCAGAATCCACTTCAAAGCTGCTCAGGTCTCTCAGGGCAAGACTTAGGCCAGGGTCAGGGTCGTCACGTGCCAAGAGCTCTTTTATGAAGAGGTGAACACTGGTGAAGGCACCTTTCATGCTAGCTAAATAAAAGGAGGGGATCTTCACCTCTTCCCATTCACTACTGCCCATAACCCCAAATGCATATAGAGCACTTCACTCATGACGTTTTGTCCCCACGTCACAATGCTTGACCTGGCAAGCATGCCAAGGGATGGGATTCTTTTGCAGTGTCCCCAGGACCTGTTGAGCACATTTAAGAGAGCATTAAGTCTTTCTTCCTCTTGCAAAGGCAAGAGATATCTGACTTCGGCAACTGCTTGTGAAGTCCCTGGCACGTGTGAGCAGAGGCTACACTCCTGATTATCCTGCAGGCTGCCAGGGCCTTTGTTGTTAAAACTGCCATGAACTGTTGTCTACAGAGTTTTTCTCCTGTCTGTGCATTTAGGTCTCAAGTTTGCCAGTCACTGTCTTGTCTGTGTACATGCCTGTGCGCTGATTGATTCTGGCCCTCATTATGCTCTGTCCCTGTGACATCACCCTTTCTTCTACTTTTGTGCCACTCCTAGTCTTGTCTTGGCACAGGTGGCAGGACTGGGGCAGCCACCAGGCCCCACAGCCCACCTGCCCCTCTGTGCTCCTCAGCAAAGCCAAGAGTCAGAAGAGTAGCTGTGACAGTTTCTATTCAGTTTTTATTCACAATCGAGGAAGGCCACAGCCACTAGGTACTTGTGGAATCTCATCAAGCTTGCCCGAGTTAGGGTATGCTCAGCTCTCCCTATGACAAGGCACCCAGTAGGGTCCTCCTGAACCAGAAGCCCCCAGACCCTGCTTGTTCCCCCAGTCTCTGACCTCCTCTGCAGCACTGGCATGCGGTGAGGCTGGTGCAGCAGTAGCCGATGGCAGAGCTGTCCAGACATGTGGACCATCTCCTTGCTTTCAGGTGTGCAGCAGTTACCTCCTTCAGCGAGGCATGGACAGCAGGAAGATTTTAGCCCACCTGAGGGCCTCTACCTGTAAGGTAAGGTATGCTCTGAAGCACAGGTGCAGACTCCTTCACTGCCAGGTACACAGGAGGATGAGCCTCCCTTTCTACTGTTTGTGTTATAGGATAATAGAGTATTTAGGGAAGAGGTGAGAAATATGATAACCCTTTATCCTTCCATGTACCTGTTTTCTCCGTCACCTTGAACGAACTCACCGAGGACCTAGGTTCTCTGTGGACCTCTGTGCCTGTATGTGTGGATGCAATGCAGCCAGTGTTGGGAGATAGGGCTGCCTATTCTTAGACCCCATCTCCTGAGGGTCCAGCAGAGTAATTGGCAGTGTTTACAAGGTGTCTATTGGCTTCCTGTTGTACTGCCGGGTTGGGCTGGATTAGGAATGGGTGCCAGGGACCCCAGGATGGCAGATGGACATACATCCCTCCAAGCTTGATCTCTCAGCAAGCATTGGAGTTTGGGTTCTGGTCTTGGATATGCCACCATCTTCCCAGTCCCAAGGAACCTACCAGAACTTTGCTGCACTGGGGAGTCCAGGAGGCCCTGACATTCCTGTTCCAAACAGAAATAAATCCTCTCCAAGTCTCAGAACATGGCACCTGTGTCAGGCTCCTCTCTGAGCACTGGCAGAAAACTTCATGGAGGTGCTAGGGTGAGAGGGTAGAGGACACATGCTGTAGGTGTCCAGGTGCTGATAGAGCAGCATCCACTCTGTACCTCCAGAGCCCTCCACTATCATCTTGACCAGAGGACGATGACTCACTTCAAGCCCACTGTCATCTTGGTGTTCTTCCATCCCAGGTTTACCAGGAAGAAGAGACCATCAGTCTCCAAAATGCTTTCTCGGTGGTTGAACTGAAACCCCTCGGAGCGCCTTCTCCTGAGCCCAGTCCAGGTGGGCCCCTGCCTCCCAATCAGTCCCTCCTTCAGCCCCTGTGTACCCTATGCCTGCCACTGCCCTCTGCTTCCAGGAGTCCATCCCTGAGTGGACTCCCACAACTGGGCACTACCCAGAAACCCAGGGCAGCACATCCAGAGCCCAGTCAGCTGGCCCCTCCAACCTGCCTGTTCTGCCGCTGGCCTCTGTCTCTTTAAGCCCCCTCCAGTCAGACCTCAGCTCCACCAGTAGCTCTAACCCTGGTCTCCACTCCCATGGCCCCATCTACATGTTGAGCTATCCCCCACTAGTTCTCGTCCTGCCTGTCTCCCCTTCACACTGAGCCTACCATGTCCTATCTCCATGGTGGACCCCATTGCAGAGCCTGAATACCCCTCCTCAATAGATCCCTGGGAGCCTCCTGGATGTGGCCTGGTCTTTTTGATCTGTCCCCTCATCATAGCCCACCCTACCTCCTCAGTCACCAGTCACTCCAGTCTTCCAACTCCAGAGCCCAGCCTGGACACAGGAAGCCCCAGGGTCTTGTGGGAGGGGTCGCAACACCCACACATGGGAGCAGGACAAGCCAGTCAGGCCTTCAGTGCTGGGGTCACTACAGGGCATCTGCTTGATCAAGCCCCACCCTCATCTCCCCCCCAACTCCATCTGTCCCTAGGTTTCATGCCGGTCACCAATGACACCAGGCTTGTCGCCATGCCCGGGCCCATGCCAGGCCAGTCCTCCTGCAATGAAGGAACCACAGAGCTGCCAGTGGCATTTACTTCTGAGGCCACTCACTTCAAGCCCATCGTCCTCACACAAGATGCAGGTGTAGACAGGTGAGTGTCCATGCCCAGAGTTGGAGGGGTCCCTGAGGGCAGGGAACCCCTTCTGAGCTCTCTTTCTCTCCTCACAGGGAACAGCTTGCCTTGCCCTCAGAACAGGCTGAGGGCCCCGAGGAGAGCAGTGGCCGACTGGACAGAGACAGCGAAGGAAAGCATGTGCCTCAGGCCCACACTGGGGTCACCAGCCCGATGACAACCAAAGGGCCTGTGCCTGCTCCAGAGCCCCACGGAGCAGACCCGGAAGCTCTCAGGGAGTCAGTACCATGTGGCTTGGCTCAGGGGTGCTCCTGCCCTCCACCTTCATCCCCTGTCCACCAGCCCGAGGGAGCCTCATTGGCAACTCCTGGCTCCCCTGCCCCCACCCTACCCCCAAAGGCATTAGTGCTGCCCCTGAAACCAGGGCTAGATGGGCAGGTCCCACCTGAAGCCCCTTCTATGGGCCTTGGGCCCTGCCCCCCAGGGCCTACCTCAGACAACCATGGCCTGCCTCGCCCATCCAAGCCACCCAGGAGCAAGGTCACTGAGTGCCCAGGCCAGAAGCCAGAGGGTCCCCAGTCAACCACACGGGGCCCCTCCCTGGCTGCAGTGAGTCCAGATAGCCCCAGGGGCACCCCTGTCAGGGAGCGTGGTGACCACACCCCAGAAAGTCACTCTGAGAGGCCCCGACCAGCAGACCGCAAGCTCTGCCCGTCTGGTGTGGATGCCTCGTCCCTCCAGGACGCCATGCGACTCATCCAGGAAGAGTTCGCCTTTGACGGCTACCTGGACAATGGGCTGGAGGCTCTGATCATGGGTATGTGAGGGCTGTAGAGGCACTAAGAGAAGCCCAGGGCCAGGAAAGCAGGGAAAGACAGCCCTGGGGAGTATTAGCATGGAGAGGGGAATTGGGGCCCACCATTCATCTGTCTCTGCACAAAATGCCCAGTGGGCAGAGCTTGGCCCTCTCAGGAACCAGCTGGCTGCAAGGACAGTGAGGGTGGTGCCTAGAAACCTCAGGCAGGAAGATGGTCTCAGAGCCCACCCCACCCCTGTTTCCTGCTGCTCAGGCCTCCCCAGCCCCTGTGGCCAGCCTCACTCATTTAAGCAATAGCAAGGGAACCCTGAAAAGTGCTCTCACCCACGGTTCAACTTGTCACTGTCATTTTAAAAAACCAGGAGAATACATTTTCGCCTTAAAAGATCTCACCTTTGCCACTTTCTGTGGTGCCATATCTGAAAAGTTCTGTGACCTCTACTGGGATGAGAAGTTGCTGCAGAATCTCTTCAAAGTTGTGAATGGGCCAACTTCACCCTCTGAGAGGTGAGTGTCCCCTGGAGTCCCATGTCCAGGCCCAGGTCAGGCCTGCATTCCCTTTCCTCCAGACTCCTGTGTTGGGATGCCAACTGCTCTGACCCTCAAGTTCAGCCTTCTTCTGTTCCTTGGTACCCACCTTATCACCTTCTGTAGAGTGGCCACCCAGCAGGTTGGACAGCGTCGGCTCCACGGCCCCTCTCCTTGACCCAAAGCCTACCCTGCTTCCCACAGCTTACCCAGTCTTTCCTTTGGAAAAGAAGAAAAGGCTCATAGAGGACAGGGAGCCAGGAGGCTTGACTGGCAGCTGCAGACAGCCTGGGCAATGGTGATCATTGAGCTCCCTGTTCAGACAAGCTCAGTGAACCAAAGTGGGGGAAAGGAGGCCTCCAAACAAGTGGCCCTAGACCCTGTAGAGACCACTGTCTGGTTCCCTGCCTTAAGCCGGCACTGAGTGAGGCTAAGGGTAGGCCAACACTCTCCCCCCAGGGTTAAAAGTTAGGGAACACAGATGCCGCACACCAGCCAGAATCCATTTTCTCTCATCCATCACCCCTTCACCTGCCTGGCCCCCCATCCCTTTCCCCTGCAGCTTCCCTAGCAGGAAAAGAAACCACAGTGTCCCCTGGGCCTGCCCTACCATGGGACATAGGGTCCACCCCCTTCGAAGTAGTAACTGGAGCAGACTACAGAGGCAAAGCCGAGTGAGGTAGGGTGATCCCTCCGCCAGGCTATGCCTTGAGCAGCCCCCAGGTATCCTGACTTGGGAACACCTGGGCTCCTAGTGCCCCTGTAGCCCTAACTCAGCCATGGTGACTACACCAGCAAGTGAGTGGAGGTTATTGGTGTAGGCGTTTGCTGTTGGGAGATAGAGGTGGGTGGGGGGGAGGTGCTGGCTTTGTTCATTCTCCACATGGTGCCTTGAGCAGCCCAGGCAAAGCTCATGTGTGGAGGCGTAATCAGCCAGGAGACAAACACACCCACGTCAGCCCCTGGCACTCCCAACTCCAAACAGACAAGAGTTTCCATAGCATTGAGAAGTGCTGTCCCAGGCTATTCTTTTTTTAGAGAGAGTTGTTTTTTGTTTTTTGGTGTTTTTTGTTTTTTGGGTTTTTTTTTTTTGCTATATGGCACATGCACTTGCCAGTCTGAAAGCAAAAAATTAACCCCTCTGGAGGATTGCCACACCACACCACAATCTCTTCTCCTCCATTCTCTCAGGATTTTGAGCATGCACACACATACCCCCAGCATGAGTTTCAAGCTTCCTGGTCTGGGATTCAAACCATGGTCAGCCATGTGGGAGTCCAATGACATAACCATTAAGCCATCTGCTAGTCCCTGTCCTAGGCTATTCTGGATTCCATCTAGGGACCCCCAAGAAGCTAATGACCCAGTGATCCCGTCTGCCACAGTGCCTCTTGACAATCCTGGAAGGGCACGTTCCATGACTACCTGCCACCTCCAGCCTGAGGTCCCTCTGTGGGTCGTGGGTCCCAGGAAGACCAGGGAACAGGTGCTGAGCATACCCAGTGTGCTCTCCATGAGACTCAGCCTGCTCCCGGGGAGGTGGGGGGCACTACCTCAGCCTGAAGCCTCCTTTACGGTGGAAGGGAGTGGAAAGAGAAGGGTGGTAGGGACAGGCTGCTGAGCTGTCTATTGTCATTGTCAGCATTTCTGAGGAGTCCATGTCACAGCCAGAGAACACACCGAGCAGCTGCTCACCCTCCAGCAAAAGGCCCTCACTGCACCGGCTGGGTAAGAGAAGCACGCCTTGCACATGCACAGTGGGATTCCTCGCCTCACTCTTGGCACGGAGGGTGGCTGCAGAAAGGGCTTCCAGTGTCAAGGGCAGCCTTTGGCTGTGCTTCTCCAACTTTGTCCGTTTCTTTGCCTGAGGGTCACAGGCTCCCAGGACTTGTCCTGTCCTCTCCTCGTAGATCTATCCTGGAAAGGAAAGGTTTTCTCCCCCTCCACCACCAGCTCTGGGTAGAATACAGGAATCCAGGGCCATGGGATAGGGGGGCTGTCAGTGAAGGGAGGATCCTTCCCTTCACCATCACCACAGGGACCCCAAGGTGGGGAGGGAGGCTCTTTGCATCTTCCCTGGAAGCATATGCCATTTAAAGCCCCAGAGACAAGTTTTTCTGAATTGTTAGCCCAACACTCCAAATCATCTGAAAACTTTGTAATTACCCCAAATCCAGTCTGACTGAGGAAATCAAAGCAAGCTGGCTGAGGGGACAGCACTTTAGGGATGAGGTGCTGTAACTGTGATCACCCTCAGATTTGCCCACTGGCTGGTAACTAGGGTATGTTTAAGGAAGTCAGGGACAGTCGTGCAGACCTAGCTGGGGTCCTGGATAGCCAGGTGAGCCCAGGAGAAACCACCTAACTCTGACGGAAGCTCTCAGTATTGAGCTCAGAGGACTGCTGAAAGGTTTGTGTGTGAAACTGTAGAGATTAGGATTTGTTTTTAAATATGTCAAAAGAAAAGATGGAGGAAATGGGGGGGCCCAGTCCTGTATAATGGGAGTTATGGCCAGTAGGGAGGCCCAGGTCCTTGACCACCTCCCCTAAAGCAGTGAAAATGCCCAGAGGAAGCTAGTCCAAAAAAACCCCACTCCTAGTTGTCACCCATCTCTTCACAGATGGTTCATCATCCCACAGAGCTCTACTCTGAACTCCATACACACATGACAGCCATGGTTGGAGGGGCCTTCAGGGGCCTCTCAAGCAGAAGAGGCGTCTGGGTCCCCAACTCGGCCTGAGTGGCCTCTGCACATAATGAGCAGAAATGGAGCTGCTGTGTCACATCTTAACCCTCACCTCTCTCTTTCAAGGAAAAGAGAAGCCGGCCATGGCCAGGACCAGCAGAGGCCCCTGCTCACCCACCTCACTGTCAGACATGGACTCAGATGAGCTCTCCCAGGGGAACTTTGAGGTGGGATTTCGGCCTCAGAAGTCAGTAAAGTCTACAAGAGAGCAGCAGCCCACAGCTGGAGAGGACGAGCAGCAAGGTGGGGGCCCTGAGCCAGCCAGTGGAGCTTCGGACGTGGACATAGTGGCCCGACTGGCCAGGCCCGACGAGAGTAGCCCAGTCATATCCCCTGGCCCAGCCGAGTTCCGGAGCTGCAGCCCCGGCTGGTCTAGCGCCTTCTATGAGGCTGACTGCTTCGGGACAGAAGTCCACAACTATGTGAAGGATCTGGGCAGGCAGAAGGCCAGCGGGTCACCAGAACCCGATGCTCAGAGCCCGGTGAGTCCCTGGCAATGAGATGGGGGCGGTCACCAGGGCCTCAGGAGCACCTCAGGCAGCGAGACTCTTATTCATGTCAAGCATCCAAGTGACAAAAGGCAATGTGTGTGCAGAGCCTCTGTCCAGGGTGTCTTCCACTTCTGGTACCCCACCTGCCCCCAGTAACCCCACAGTGATGGTCTGCGGCCCCTCCCCCTGCATCCTAAGATGGTAGTATGCTTCTCTGATCATGTTCTCTACATTTTGAGAGAAAGAATGGCTTTTCTCCTATCAGTTGGCCACATAGTCACTAGGTGTTGAGTCATTAGGAGGTTCACCTGGTCTTCATCCCCCTGGTCAGGTTCAGACCACTGCTGGGGCAGGCAGGTGCAGCCCTCTCTCCTCCTAGCAGCCCTCTAGTCTCCTGGTCCTTGGATGGCATCACTGTGAGATAAAAGAAAACACCAGAAGCAATTGGCCTGTGGCAAATTCAGGCTGGACCTGAAAGCTATGCAGCCTGGCCTAAGCATCTCTGCGTCAGGAGCAACCCAGGCCCCTCATTGGTCAACAAGCGAGAGGAGGCTGTGATTGAGCATCCAGGCCTGACCAGCCCTGCTACTGCCTGCACCTTGGGAACCCACTTCTCTCCCCTACTCCCAGCCTGTGACCAGGAGTCACAGCCTGGGCCACACTGCCCATGTCTGGGCCCTCTGAGTAACCAATAGGAGGGAAACCACCCACAGATTAGCCCCCAACACCCCTCCCTGCTGAGTTCCGGAGGTTTCACACACCCCTCCTACCTCCAAGCTGAGGCAGTATCTCCCTGTTTGAGCATCCCCTAAGCCTTTCCAGGGTGGTTCCTTCTTATATTCAGGTTCGCTTCATTACCTGGTCTAGAAAGCCATCAACATCTCAGTAGGAAGCATGAGAATGGGGGTTGTGCTCTTTAAAACACTTGTTTCTGTTTGGAATCACACCACTTCCTCAGAGCAATGCTGAAGACTAGGGTATTATGCTGTGGCCTGCCCCCTGCCTCATATGTCATCATGGACCTGTCCGCCTGCCATCACAGGGCCTGGCATCATACACTGGGGTCTTCCAGGACTCAGGCCCTCATGAGGGGAGGGCAGACTGCATAGCAGACCACCATCCTGCCCAGCCCATGATGTGCAGTGTCCAACATGAGAGCACAAATCTCCTCCCACCTCTCAGTAACACTGTATTAAAGTCTGGGCCTCTGACAAGAAAGACAGAGACTCCCAGCTCCTGGTGGGCCCTGCATGTTCCCTGGATCTTATTCCTTCCACTCCATGGGGCCTGGGGCCTGTCCAACTTCCCCTTCCTTAATGCACATTTGCATACTGTGCAGACCAGTGGAGCTGGTAAAGGTTGTCCAAGCAACACTCGGCTCTCCACCAACCAGCCTTTCCAGGGAGCAGAAAACAAACCAACTCCGGCACAAAGTGCCAGCCTGACCACATGCCACATCGTCCTCCTGCTGTCATAGGAAACAGGCTCAGGGAGGATAAGGGGCTAGTGTAACCAGTGAGAGGCCAGAGTGGGGCTGGGCACCAGGGCTGCTGGGCTCCAGCCACCCACAGGACATCCACAGCCACCAGTGATGGAACACCATCATGGCAACCCAGGTTGAGCACTGCCTTGTAACTAAGTGTTGGCCAGGGCCCCCTACCAAACCAGGCTGCACTGAGTCTGCAGGATCATGAGGAGTCTCAGGGTCTTCTGTAGCTCAGGTGGGTCCACCATGAACAGTGAATGTTTGCTGTGAGGTTGTTCCTAAAGGAACAGTGGGCTCTGTCCCGATAAGGCCTGGAAATGGGCTCTGAGACCAGCTTGGGTGAGATGATCCTGTTGAGAGTCAGTTCTTGTTTCTATTTGGCTATAATCCTATGGCTGGAACAAGGTTTCCTGACATGCTAACTCTTGTCCTGTGATAGCGGAGGACTCAGGTGGGCACTTATCTTGGACAAGCCAACCCTGGGATCCCATTGCCACTCTGCGGGGTAGTGCCTGCTTGGGAGCTGACTTATCCAAATGACTGATCTAGAGGAAGGGTGGCTAGCTTGGAGGAATGATGAGGAGTGACCTTGTTTTTCCCTTTATGCTGCACACCTGGGGAAGAAGTCGCTCCTGGAGCTCGAGTGCAGTCAGGTGAGTTTACTGTGCCCTTGATTGCTTAACAAGTGGGTTGACTGAGACCAGCCACAGCTATAGTTACACATTTCTCTTTGAGGACCCATTCAGTCTGTTTCAAAGCAGGAACCAAGGAAAAATAGGAAAGGCATAAAACAGCTAGACAGATTTTCACATTGCAACCGGAAAAGAAAGAACGTGTGCGGGCAGGCTGGATCCTGGGGTGCACGCAGCAGCTGGAGGGTAGGCCTGTTCTCCATTCAGTGCTGAACTCCCATGCAGTGCCTACTCACTGAGCACCAGAGCGCCTACCACAGGCCGTGTATGGCATGCCCGGCCCATAAGCCTCTCTGGGCCCGTGGGAGTAGGAGCCCCTGCAAACCCCAGATACCCCAGTGCTGCATTTTGCTTCTCCTGCTGTTACAACAGGCTTCACTCGGTGTTTGAGTGAATGGCAGTGGTTTCCGTCCATCCCTCTTTCCTTCCTTTACTACAATTTCTCATTGTCCCAGCTTCCTGCTGCTTACTATTGTCTGCTCCCTGATATTTGTCAGCCATTCATCCAATTAAATCCAGTAGCTATTGTGCCCAATGAGCAAGTTGTTCAAGTTGCTCACATTTATTTCTCTAACAAATCAACACGCTTCCCAACTTATGAAAAATCATTGGTTGGGGCCAGCAGGTGGCATAGTGGTTAAGCACAGGACTCCCATGTAGCCAACTGCAGTTCAAGTCCCAGACCTGGTAGCTTGAAACTCATTCTGGGCATGTGTGTATGTATGCATGCCCAAAATCCTGAGAGGAGAATGGAGAAGGGATAGCGACATGACCATTACCTGGGGCTGGGGGGGAGGGTGATTTCTTGCTTTCTGTCTCTGTCTCTCCAGTAACTATACATGCCCTATAGCAAAAAAATCTGTCAATTAAAAAAAAAACAAACAAACAAACAAAAACCCTTGGTAAGGTTAAGGCAGGCGAAAAGCAACTAAACTCAAAACATTCCTAAGTGTTTTCTTTAGATATGACCCGTCCAGGTTGGTCTGTAATCCTTATTTGTTTGTGCTTCTACCAGAGTATGTCTGTGAGGGACACCCCCAGGTCTCATGTCTTCTCTATTGTCCCATATGTTTTATAAACTTTAGTCCATGTAGATTTATCTAAAAGCAATCAAAAAAGCCCTTTTCAGAGACTCCGTCTGTAGTTCAGAATTGTGAGGAATGTCACTAACAAGTGTTGACCCTGACTCTATAAGCCAGGGTTGGAAAGATGCTAGCTCAGAAAGCATTTGCATGGGCCGCGTTCTAAGAGATGTGGGTACATCCTGACTACTTAGGGAGCTAATCCTAGGGAGCTAATCAATGTCCACAAACCTCCCCAACATCAGTGTCTCCACAGTGGACAAGGGTGTTGGGCTGGACAGAGATTGATACAGGATGACCTCCAGGTGCAGGATGAAAGCACTGCAGTGCAGGCCAGAGGGACATGGCCACTGTTACCATCCATAGAACCAGGACCTCAAAGAAACAAGATAGACAGACTGCAGAGACCCTCAGGTCTTGCTCAAATGGACACCCGGACAGCAGAACACAGCCTGTGAACAGCTCTGTGCGGACACCTGCACGTACTGATCTCTACTTGCACCATCCAGTAGGACTTTCCTTGATGATAGAATATTCTAGATCTGCACACTTCACAGGGTAACCACCAGCCATGCGTGACCATGGAGTACTTGAAATGTGGCTCCCACGACTGAGGAATTGACACTATAATTTTATCTCCTTTTAATAATCTAGATAGCACACGTGACCAGGGTCTCCAGCACATTCCATTCCCAGCAGCAGGGAGTGCTTCTCCCTGGTCCAGCAAGAGGGTACTGAGCCTCAGACCACACAAGTTGCTGGTGTTGGCTATCTGTTGAGTGCAGGAGCTTGACTTGAAGCTAGGTTGTCTGATATCAGAGCTTAAGCTCTTCTCCAAACACTATCCCAGGAAAATGATGTCTCAAAAGTTTGGGGCGCTCGTAGCAATTTTAGCAGGCTTCTCTGGAAGCATCCACCTCACATAGAAATCTTATCATGGCTTAAGTCCAATTTCTCCAGGTTTGTGTCTGTGGGGGTAGACTCTGCCCACTGTTATGACAGCCCCTCTCCCCCCAAAGCAGTTCACATATGGGCCACCGAAGTAGGATCCAGAGGTCTTGGGAATCTGAGTTATAAACCAATTTGGCGAGGGTCCAGTTTTTTCTGTCTGGGCTACCTCCCACACTGGATCCAGCCCCTGCTAAGTCCAATTTCTCCAGGTTTGTGTCTGTGGGGGTAGACTCTGCCCACTGTTATGACAGCCCCTCTCCCCCCAAAGCAGTTCACATATGGGCCACCGAAGTAGGATCCAGAGGTCTTGGGAATCTGAGTTATAAACCAATTTGGCGAGGGTCCAGTTTTTTCTGTCTGGGCTACCTCCCACACTGGATCCAGCCCCTGCCCAGCAGCTGGCCCCTCCCACAGTGGCAGGTTCAGGCCACCCACAGGGCTGTCCGCTACCCTGACTGCTAAATACCCATGCATGGCAGAATCTGCCACGGGGACCTTATTTTCCTTGAAACTGTGAGACAGAAAGGATGTGAATATTTTTTTTTCTTTTTTTTTTTTCACATTTTATTATATCACTAAAGATCTTAAAAACGTTCAATATCAAGCACAGTTTATATATACATATTTAAGAACACATGTCTAACTTCAGGTATAAACCTCAGTGAGCAAAGTGAGGCTATGTAGCTTACTGTAGTCATTAGGTATTAATGGGTATTCTTAACGCATTTTTAATTTTAAAAATTTTAGTTTTAATAGATCAAAATCAAAAAATGTTGGGGACCAGCAGTTAGCGTAATGGCTATGTTGCTGTGGACTCTCACGTAGTCGACCGCGGTTCACGTCCCAGACCCGGTGGCTTAAAACTCACGCTGGGCGCATGCGCGTGCGTGCCCAAGATCCCGAGAGGAGCTAACGGAGGAGAAGGGATTGCGGCATGGCCACCCCCTCTGGGGGGTGATTTCTCACTTTCTGACTCTCTGTCTCTCTCCATCTGTCTGGCGAGCGCACGCGCCCTATAGCAAAAAACCTCTCCAAAAAAGAAAAAAAAAAAGTTAAGAAAATTTTGCTTAAAACTTAAAGCCAGGAAAAAGGTTAGTATTCAGTTCAAATAGTAGGTAAGATGAATTTATCAACAGTTCAAGAGAAGACAAAAATCCTTAAATATGGAAATCAGAGTATTGAAGATCAGAAATGTTTTAGTCAAAAAATTCTATTTCACTAGCTCAGACTCAGTAATTAATCTCTCTTCTGTTGTGTTACAGTGGTCTGATCTTTCCACTTAAACTCTGGAAGTTAACATTCAACTCGACTTGTCCCTACCGTTTGGGTGGACATTCTTTTTGTTGTTTCTCATACTCTTATTTCTGTGTGTCTGATTTTAATTTTCCTGTTATAGCACTCTCTTTAGTACTTTTTGGAGAGCTGGTATGGTGTTGATAAATTCTTTAAGGTTTTATTTATCTGAGAATGTTTTTGTCTTTTTTTCCCATATAAACAATAATCTTGCTGAGTATAGTATTCTTGGTTGAAATTGTTTTACACTTAACACTTTGAATATATTTTCCCATTCTTTCCTTGCTTGCATTGTTTCTGATGAGAAGTCCAACGTTAGCCTTATGGAATATCCTTTGAAAGTAACTTGACATTTCTCTCTTGCCAATAGTATCATTTCTCTCTTGCCAATTTTAGTATCTTGTCTCTGTCTGTGGTTTTGGTCAGTCTGGCTATGATGGACCTTGGGGAAGATCTGCTTGGGTTGATTCTACGTGGAAGATCTTCTTGGGTTGATTCTATGTGGGATCCTTTGTATTTCTTGGGTCTGGATATTTGAGTGCCTCTCTAGGTGTGGAAAGTTTTCTTCCAGGGTTTCATGGAATAGATTATCTCAGCCCTTATTAGTTTCTTCACCTTAGGGAATACCGATTCTCCAGATGTTCGGGCAGTTAATGGTATCTAGTATAACTCATATGTTACTTTCTCTTTTTTTTGGTGCTTTTCTCAGTCTTTTTGGTGAATTTTTTTAGGTCAGAGGTTCTGTCTTGTACATCTGAGATGAGGAAGAGCAGGACTGCCCCTAGGGACATGAAGTCAGTGTAGTCATGTGGGGGCCAGCCCTATATGCTCAGAAGTTGTCAAGGTGAGGGTTCAATGCTCTGGGCAGCTGCCTTTTTTTAAAAAAATTAAATTAAATTTATTTGTTTAAAATTTGGAGTTATTTATTCACATTCATTCACTATACATCATTACAGCATACAAAATGAGATTTTTCCATCCAGAATACACTGTATATTAGCTGAATCGAGCACATCATGATGATTCCAGGGAAGCTGATTTTGGTGGGGGCTGGGGAGGGCTTATCCACACGGATTAGCCAGAGTCTGTATCGCTGAGCTTCTTTAAGCTTAACTTAAAAAGAAATGTGGGCTGGCATGGTGGTTGAGGTTGCTGGACTCCCACATGGCTGACTGCAGTTTGAATCCCAGACCTGAAGGCTTGCTTGCGTGTGCGCACGCTCTCTCGCTCTCTCTCTCTCTCTCTCTCTCTCTT